TTACCTGGATGCTGTACAGGCCCTGTAGAACTCGTCACACTGAGTGACACCATTACTTACCTGGTTGCTGTACAGGCCCTGTAGACCTTGTCACACTGGGTGACACCATTACTTACCTGGATGCCGTACAGGCCCTATAGACCTTGTCACACTGGGTATACGTAACACCATTACTTACCTTGTTGCTGTACAGGCCCTGTAGACCTTGTCACACTGGGTGACACCATTACCTACCTGGTTGCTGTACAGGCCCTGTTGACCTTGTCACACTGGGTGGCACCATTACCTACCTGGATGCCGTACAGGCCATATAGATCTTGTCACACTGGGCATACGTAACACCATTACTTCCCTGGATGCTGTACAGGCCCTATAGACCTTATCACACTGGGTGACACCATTACCTACCTGGATGCCGTCCAGGTCCTATAGACCTTGTCACACCGGGTGACACCATTACCTACCTGGTTGCTGTACAGGCCCTGTAGGCCTGATCACACTGAGTGACACCATTTCTTACCTGGTTGCTGTACAGGCCCTGTAGACCTTGTCACACTGGGAATACGTAACACCATTACTTACCTGGATGCTGTACAGGCCCTGTAGACCTGGTCACACTGAGTGACACCATTACTTACCTGGATGCTGTAGACACCAATCCCCTGTCCTAACTCCTTCTCAATGCTCCTCACACACGACTGGCAGGTCATGCCGTTCACTTCTAACACTGTTGTTTTCTGCATTTTAAACTGCTAAAAGGATTTCTGAAAATTGAAATAAACTTTCCTTCATTTCAAAATGAACAAATTCAATGTTACAAATTAAACTTACTTTCATTCCTTTGTTTTTAAATCGGTTGATCAGCACTAGTCCAGACAGCCGCGAGAACAGCTAATATTTCTTAGTTGTAATCAAGATATACCGATAAATATAACTTTTTAGATTAAATTTTGAGAAATGTGCATTTATATGTTACCTATACAAAAACCTGAACTTGTGTGATTGTCTGACAGATTATTCTTGCATCATTGTTTGACAGGTAATTAATTGGTAATGATTTGGGGGCAGGTTTTTACATTTTATTTAATACTTACTAATAAATACAGGTGTATTGTATGCGATACGACACAATTGCTCTAACCCATACCACCCTCGCCATATCACACCCCAAAACCCATATCAGCCCTCGCCATATCACAACCCAAAACCCATACCAGCCCTCGCCATATCACAACCCAAAACCCATATCAGCCCTCGCCATATCACACCCCAAAACCCATATCAGCCCCCGCCGTATCAGCCCGCAAAACCCGTATCACACCCCTTTTGGAAATTTTTCGTCTTTCAATATTTCAAAAGAAAAATAGATCATAAGGTAGTAGCTTTTATTATTAAGTATGCATGTAATAAACAGTGGACAGCCCTCAGGCTGATATTGCAGTCTCGGGTTGATACTGAGTATGATATGGAAAAAGGCATGTATTATTCTCCGTATATGATTTTCTGATATATATATACAATAATTATAATATTGGGATATTTTCACTCGCAAAGCAATTTTGGTGATAAATGTATGTCTACTGTAATGTAAAGGGAAACCAATATTGCATTGATCCCTTAGTTTTGTTGTACATGCCACAAATAACTGGTAAACCAGATCATACATCAGACCACAGTGTACCACAGACATCTCCTTCAGTCTACCGAAGAGGAAGTTGGTAATCTTGTTAAAACATAACTAAATATTTGTCTTTTGTTATATTTCTTGATAAAATAAAATATGACGAAAAACATAGAAAGGCGAGGAAATGTTAGAAAAGGACTAAGTAGATACCCCACTGCTATTGTGGTACTGTAGACAAACCACTCGTGTTGTGGTACTGTAGCCAACAAACTGGTGTTGTGGTACTGTAGACAACACACTGGTGTTGTGGTACTGTAGCTATAGACAACACACTGGTTATGTGGTACTGTAGACAACACACTGGTGTTGTGATACTGTAGACATCACACTTGTGTTGTGGTATTGTAGACAACACAATGTTGTTTTGGTACTGTAGACAACAAACTGGTATTGTGGTACTGTAGTCAACACACTGGTGTTGTGGTGCTGTAGACAACACATTGGTGTTGTGATACTGTAGACAATATACACTGGTGTTGTGATACTGTAGACTGTGTTTACCTTGCCATTAATTATAAGATTCTTCTGATCACTTAACCAGATATTTTGTTACCTGACTTTTCACCAATATCAGGAAGAACAAATTTGATATTACACAATATGTATCCTTCATGTTCAGAAATGTACAGACTCATGCCTAAATAAATTTCACCTGATTATACAAATGTACTTACAATTGTTTGGTGGAAGTGTATAGTTGTTGGTATCACCAGGATGTACCACTATAATGACTAGGTATACCCGTATTAACATATCTACGCATTTAAGTCATGTGAAATGTTGTTCATTGCTATCTCTGTACTATGTTGAATACTGATAACCTGATTTTTTTTATTTTTGATACAAGTGAATATTTATCTGGTATATTTATATCTTTTTAACTTGGTCAGAAAAAAAACCTCCTGAATCCTTGTTTACACGACTGTATTGATACTTGTGCTTGATAGTTTTGGCCTGTGTGTCATGGAGGGAGAACAGTTTGAATGGGTGAGATTATGTTTTACACCATGAGACAACCCTGGCCATTGTTAGAGCACGGCTATTAGGTAATGGCTAAGCAATGCTTTGATTGGTGCATATTAGTAATATAAGACATAAGATAAGGATACAGTTAAGTGAGTATATGAGAGTCTCTAAGTAAATACAAGTACAATTGTAATATAGTATATAGTATGGGAGGTTTCAGGTGTTAGCAAAAACACTCTAATGATGAGGTAACTTTAAGTTTATCTCCAAAGTTAAGAGGATGCATGGAATTCGAAGAAATTAAAAAGTCAATGTTTTGCCTGTAAGATAATTGGGGTAATAGTAGTCCGGAACAGTTTAACTATGATTACAACTAAATAGTTATGATTCCTAAACAATAAGTAAAATTTCCATGAATAGTTCAAAAATACGAAAATTATCAAAAGTTCCAAAATGTTCAGTTAGTATGAACCCCAAAGAAGGGAAGGGTCCTTGCATCAGAAAGTCCCAAAGGGTATCCTGATAATTCAAATGTTTATTTGTGGTTTTAGGCTAAAGAAAGGTATACATTTGTCTATGCTACCATGGTTCAAAGTAAGGTTGCATTGAGTAAGCTGTTGACAAAACTCTTTCTGGACCCTCACCTTTAGTTACAGATGCTCTCCAGCTA